CCCCCCCACACTCCCTTTTCCCACCAACCGCCCATAATTACGCTTATTGGCCCCTTATTTTATGTATGTTTTTACTGTACGCTGCAGCAGTGCATAGCAGAGAGCCTGGATGTTTGGAAGGACTTTGCTGGAAAAATGGGATATGAGAAGGTCCCTACCTGCTCAGATGCAATGAAAAGAAAAATGGTCGCCCACTATATCTTTCACCTCACATACTGTTGTATTTCTTCCAGTGTTACACGTCCTCTGCAGCTGCAGTCTGACAGTGTGAAAACAATGGAGTGATTCCCAGCACTGTAGTTATAAAAATGCTGTCTCAAACTTTAGTGAGAACGTAAATTCAGTCGGAGCACAGTTTAGGTTAGCTCTTTCTAAAGAGATTTCACACACTTTCATGCTGATGGCTCCATGAATGCAAAATGATGTTCTGCATTGTTCACAAAAAATTGGCTTCATGTGCGCTGCTGAATAATGTTCATTTCGTACATAATAACCTCTATTGTGCCATTTGTATTTGTTTATCTTGTTCTTAGGGAGATGCAGGCTCCTCTGCAGCTGGCATCAAGGTGAGGGCTAAGCTAACTTCAGTTTCTTCATCTTTATGAGGATCACCATCTGTGTGTACATTGAATTGTTGCTCAATACAAAAAAAAAATGTACTACTCAAACTTTTTCTTTTGTAGACATTAGTTTAAAAAATATATATATTTACGTAAAGTAGCTTTACAAACTGTTAACCAGCTAACTGAGCAGTAGCATATGTTCCCAAGCTCAATATCCTCTTAATATGACAAATTATGGAAACCTTTTATCGACTTTATACATTGTTATTTCCACACGAGTGGGTTTCTAACCATTCAAACTGCATTTTTATGTAGTATGTCTTCCTTTATTTGTTTGCAATTTGAACTCTGAAGTTAGCCCTTGATAAGCTCTTACAACCTGTATAGAGAGCATGGGAATAACCCTGTTACATGAAGCTTATGTTAGCTTATTTATCAATTAAAAGTTGCTCAAAAAACTCAGGAACACATACGTTCACAAAAAGCTGCTTCAACCCATAAAACAAATCAGTTGTAAAGAAAACTCTATGCATCTTTTACAGGGAGAACCTGGAGAGTCTGGACGAGGTGGAACAAAGGTAATAACTGCTACACATTTCTCTTTCATACGCAGTAAAGTAGTACATAAATATAAGTGAACGTAGCAGTAATGGTAGCCATATGTTTTTTAATAATATTACGTGTTGGCTAACGTTGATAGCTTTCTCTGCTGACACGTCACTATTGGAGTAAAATACTTGATATTCAGCAACAGGTCCTTCTCAACATTCAGTGACTGGATGAAGATATTTCTTACCTCTGTGAATTGATACATCTAAAGAAGCGTTAACCTTTAAGTTGAAACTGGAGTCTGTTGGGCGAGATAACATAGTTTGGATAAATGAAATCAGAAATGAGTTGTGTAATGATGTTGGTAGTTTTTTGGTACATCACAGAGTTCTGAGGGATAAAGGTATTCTGATTCTGATTTTACTTTCACTTTGGCTTGAAACTAGTTTTGAGCCATGCAGCATTAAGCCCCACTTCATACCCCACTTGGATACATCTTTTGGATCTTTTTGCACCATTTCATTGTTAGCTGTACTTGTCTTGAGTCTCAAACATGCAGGTGCTCCCATTACTTTGCTTTACATCAGTCAGAATATGTTTTTTTCAAGCCATATTTCTCTTAGCCATTTGTATTCATGTGTCTGACACAGGGAAGAACATTGTTAAGGAAGCAGTTGCTGATAACTAATAAAGCAAGCATGCAGCATAAGGGGAGGTATTTTCCTGCAAAAATAAAAGCCATTACTCATCCCTTGGCCCATCTAATTACACTTTTTAATCCCAAGTGCTGTGCCCCATTAATCCCCCCTCTCTTGTTCCAGACAGACAGAAGGGGCTTTTAGCAAATGTCTTATTTTTTTCCATGCCATTCTGCACAGACAACACTAACTGTTTTATGACTGCTTTATCCTATCTCTCATTTTACAGCCCTTCTGCTTGTGCTGACACACTTACACGTTGTATTTCTCCTCAAAATGGCCATCGTGAGATTGAGTTGTCGCTCCCCGTTAAATACTACCATTGGGGTGCATTCAAGTGTCGTGGAGTTAGCAGTCTTTTATTCATTAGTTTTACAATGCCTTCGTTTCGCCACAATGGAAATGTGCAGCCCTCTCTGTCTGATCCCCTGAGTTCATCATTCTTCTGCGGCGCTAATCATTTCTTTGCGTACGCCATAAATAAAATGGTCCTAATGGAGCATTAAATTATCCAGACGTTTTGATTTGGAAGTCTTGCAGTACTCCTCGGCAGAGACTTGACCTCTGATTTTTCCACAGTTGAATAAAAAAGACGCGCATATAATGAGAGTTCTCAGCTTGACGATGACCCGACCTTGGTAGCGGAGGGAAAAGTCCAGCAGCGCCAAACTCTAATGACCTTGAAGCCGCGGAGCAGCTTCTCTAATCCAAAATAACTGACAGAATTTGCTTCCAGACACCAGAACTTTTCACACCTGCCCAAACCAATACAATTCAAAGAACAATCCAATGCACTTTGTGAAAGGTTGCGTGTTATAACCAGTACTAATCACGCTGTCAAGCCACGGCTGCATGAGTTGGTTTGCAAGTGCATGTGCAGTACCTTCTGCTAGTGCTTACTGATAGTGACAGTCGCAGAGATTCAGCAGCTTGATAGCCAGAGGAAAACACAAAATAAAGTGTAGAGCTAATAGAACCCCAAATGAGGCTCGACTCAGCTTAGCTTGGCTTGGCTGTAACATGTCACACTCTTCTGTGTAGGGAGAGCCAGGACTTCCAGGGCTGCCTGGACTCCCAGGGATAAAGGTAAATGCTTCGCTGTTTCTATCCCCGATCACCCCCCCCACCCCGCTGTTGTCCTGTCCATCCTAAACCCAGCCAGCCCATCGTCATGTCTCTCGTCAAGTCTCTTAATCTTGCTTTTCCTGCTGTGTGGGATGTGCACCAAGACTGCAAGTAGGCCTCCTATGATAACTTGGACGATATATTTCCCCAGAAATAATCGCAACACAGGATATCATTGACCATTTTATGCCACTGATATAATAGGAATATAGTAGCATTAATGTATGTAAATAATAATATTAGTTGTGTACATTTTGTGGCTCAAACTAACTGAGACCAACAACTCGATGCTAGAGGTCTTAAAATGAATGATTGGACAACTTCATTTGACTTCCTGGACGTAGCTACAAGAGACTCACTACAACATGTGTCAAAACGGTTCTGCTCGTTAAGAAGACAAGTTTCATTTTGATTAAATAATTTAGATTTCTACTTGTTTTACTTAATAAATCACAGTACTGGGTTAGACATGGTATTATTTCGCTGCCATCTTATGTTTAAAGAACACAGGGTTATTAGCTTTATATATCACAAGAATGCAGGGAATTTTCACGCAGCATGATGATATAATGCTTGTTGCTGTTTTTTCTTTCTCTTGTAATGTGCTGGCCTTGTAAAAACAAAACCAACAGGCCTTTCATTTGACATTTATATACTCTTGTTCTTACTTAAGTGGCCTGGATGCTTGATGGATTCTAACAATATTTTGCTAACGTTGCACTCTCGCCTTCTGAGCTTGCACTTTGTTCTGCTGATTCTTGGCTGTGTATCCAATCATATTTTTAAAAGTTTGAGCGGCGAGTGTCCATTACCTCTGCGGAGGTTTCCACAGTTCCCTGGATGGGAACAGACGGTATAGCAATTAAGTGATTTCACAAATCAAACGTGAATCAGGCGTCACTCTTCATACTGGAAGCTCATGAGTGCAAGTGCAAAGACGTTGAGGTGGCCTGCACACTTTAACAGAACACTTCTAGTGATGAGTTTCTAACAAGGTCAGTCGTAACGTCTATTAAAGCCCGTGAGAGGGAGTCATTAAAGGTCCCCTATTATACTGTTTTATATCAATATATAATAGGTCTAAGTTATATACAAAACATGTCTCTGAAGTGTTTTGCTCGAAAAACCAAACAGATCATTGCAGCATTACCCATAATCCCCTCTGTTTCAGCCCTGTTTCAAAAGCGCTGATTCTCTGTCTGTTACTTTAGATGAAAATAAGGAGCCCCTCCCCACGCCCCTCTGAGAGATATTTGGTTAAAAAGAACACAATGGTGCTCTCGGAGGAGATTCAGGTGATAAGGGGGGGGGGGGGGTTACCTTGGGTGGTGATTGGCTAATGGTGACACAAGCCAAAAAGTCATTATGACATCATAAAGTGGCCAAAATCTGATCAGCTCATTTTCAGACAGGTTTTTATATCACTGGATCAGGACAAAAAGTGAGCGAAACCTTTTTTCTGAAACTTTGAGAATCTCTTTACACAGAGGGGACACATGTTGATGTATACAAGACATGAAAAAGTGGGTTTTGCACAATAGGGGACCTTTAATGTATGTGAAACCAGTGGGTAAATTAACAAAGTGTTCATTTGTGTTTGTGAAATGCATGCTTGTCGTTTGGAATAAGTTTGTCCATGCATCTTGTGTTTTTGTTGTAGCGGACGTATGGATCATGGGGAATAATACATTATTTTCCGATTTCTTTCAGGGTGAGCCCGGATACCTCGGGCCCCAGGGAGAGCCAGGGCTCCCAGGACTCCCAGGAACTAAGGTGGGTCACTTTGACATCCCAAAGTCATCTTAAATCTCAATGTGAGAGCGACACTTGGTCGTTTCGACTCAATGACAATGAGTGCGGAGAGCTTTCACAGGTCTTTATCGTCAGCAATGCCTCTGGGTTTAGTATCCATTATTGTCACTACACCGAGGTGATTCGGAAGTGTTCGGAATGAGCCAATCCTCCCAGCTCCCTTTGAGTCGTGACATTATCGCACTGATAATCCAGGAGTGATTCTCCTTTTGCATCAGGGTGAATTAGCCTTGCCTTGTCATCAGGGTATAGCTGGAAAAAGAGGGATATTGCAGCAAATATGTAATTTTTCCTTATGCTCAGGTCTCTGGGTTTGCCCATTTTCTTAGAGGGTACTGCTGATTTTATAATTTTTCAAACCAGACTTTTTTCTGCCTGTAAGTAATCATAGGTAAGCATTTATTTGAAAAGAGAGCCAAAGCCTAATTTACTCTGAGTAATGGTTGTGTTCCAATTGCTTTTTTAATTATCAGAAATTAGTCATAAAGAGTATAGTTACACCACACCTCCCTCTACTGGCTGCAATGAGTCATTTCACATAAAGCACACTTCTATGGATTTGTTTTTATTGATCAACCTTAGCACAGAGAGGTCTTGACGCCTCTGTTGTTTTCTTTAAAAGAACATTTCACCTTGTCAGAGGTCACACACCAGAAAGGATGCTATGCTGACTCTGCATACATATCCACGACTAAAGATGTAAATCTTGTCAAGTAAGCATTTTCATGAGAAGAGTGGGGAGCGCTTCTAAGACATTCCTGAGTCATGTCAATACTGTTAAACATGGAGATGAGTAAAGTTCACAACTAAAGGAAACCAACACTTGTTTTATTGAAGCGAGACAGGATTAACATCACAAAGAAAAACACAACAACAAACCTCTCAATATTTCTGTCAATATATCATGACAACATTGTGGGGATGCTTCCAAAAAGTATTAATATAATGAGTTATAAATATCTGCTATAACAGTCTGGTAAGTTCAGACATCACTTAATTGTAAAGTAACCTTTAAATATATGAAAAGACACTTATTACATACAATCTAACATTATACCTAGTATCAGGATATTGATATTACATGGATGTATTTCACAACCCTAGCGATATTGTGAAGGTGCAGGACAGTCTATTGTTGAGCTTTATTGTGAGTGTGTTTGCAAGTGTGAAGAAGCCATATGAGTGTGAAATACAAGATACATTTAAAAAGGCATGGTAGGAGAAATGGAGTTTACTGGCTGGGTTGGGTTTCCTAATTTTGCTTTGCTGTGTGAGGCACTTCACGATTAGTTTTACCTTTTTTCTTGAGCAGTTTGTTGTTCTTTTGTCCGTGCAGGGTGATAGAGGCGACCACGGGCCACAAGGAAAGGGAGAAAGAGGAGAAATTGGACCCTTGGGACCAAAGGTCAGTCACTCGAGACACAAACGACTCAAATGATGTGGGAAAAAATGATTTCACAGCAGTGTGTCTTTGAGAGCTTCACAACTGTCTTGTAAGCGATGTGTTTGATAGATTTGTGCTGCCATCTAGAGCCTTGCAGATTTAAGCACACACTTTGTAGTTTTAAAAAAGCGATGGCTCCTTTTCAAATTCATCAAATATTTAGTAATGTTAACAAAGAGCGCTGGATAAACCATTACAGCCTGTAATGGGTTCAAGGATTTCCCTGGAGTCTGCACAAAGTAAACCAGAAATAAATGAGTTTCCCATTGTTTACGTCTGGCACTTACCCAGCAGGTAGCTTAAGCCCCAGTCTAAACTTGCGAGCCACAGATCAGCTTCACATCCTATTAGAAACCCCCAAAGCGGACCCCCTGCTTCATCAACAATAAAGTTCAAATAAACACTTTCTCCATGCTCGGCTGATATGACATATTAAAAGCTGGATATGTCAGAAAAGCTGACCGGGCTGCTCTCTCGGGACACGTTAGTCATATTTCCTGTGTGAAATGTACTTTTTAAATACATTGAATTTGTTAAATGATGACTTTGACTTGAGCCTAGAAAAGAATGTTTGTTATTTTTCCAATTTCATGTTTATATCGTAAGTACTTAGCTTGTCTTTTTTAACAGATGACTCTTTTCTCCATTTGTGTTTTCTTCCTCCCGGCAGGGTTCCCAAGGAGAGGGGGGTACACCTGGTACTAAAGGGGCAAAGGTGAGTCAAGCAGATGTGTTTTTCTTTAAATGTGATGCCTTTATAAGCTGACCCTTTAATTAAAGTTTGCACCTGATTCCTATCCTGGATTTTCACCATTCTATGTTCACTATTTCTTTAGTCGGTAAAGTGTCGGATCAACGTTCAGTGGAAATATCATACATCAAGCACTTCTTTTGAACATTTCATCAAACTAAACAGATGTGATTGGCTGGAGTGAAATCCAATATTGGTTTCTCTTTAGTTATTCAAAAGAGCACATTATATTAATTTGATTTAATACATTTTTGTTTGTTTTTGAGCTATTTAGTTTCTGTAACATGTCTTCTTTCAGACAACTGGAAAGAAAGCCTCAAATTTAAAATTAGGAGTATATTTTCTAACTTTTTTTCGTTTGTGTTAGTAGTTTTTTACTAAATTCTCAAAGTTAGCATTACATAATGCCTCTTTTTCATATTCAAACATAACATTTCAGAACACTTGAAATATAATACAAAATGTATTGTCTTAATGTCAGTAATGAATTGGGGAAAGTTCATGGTGATAAATGTTAGTTACATGATTTTCACCCTATTCACCTTTAGTATGTACAGAATTTTACAGTAGCTTACATATTTTTAAAGGCTATTTCCCAAACTTTGTTTTTCTCCACTTCAGAAACACTAACATACACCGACCTTTCCAGTTTCATATATTTGTTTATCATTCATAGCCTGATGTATATCACATTGTATTCCTTAAAAAATGATATATATTTAAAAATATTATACCTTATTCATCTGGGACATCTCCATAATAATAGCTACAATCAAGAGTGAAAAATTCATATACAGGACTATTATTTGTCACACTTTGATTTAATTCTCATTACTATAAATTCTTGTACCATAATAATGATGTGTATATGATTTAAGTTGCCAAAACTGTTCCACATAATAGCTAAAAGTAGGAAGTGTATTAATAGCAAATGCAATTCTGGATTTACTTTTCTTATTCTTCTCACATTAGGGGGAATATGGAGATAACGGAATCACGGGATCTGTTGGCCCGAAGGTAAGCAAACATATTAATTAAAATAACCTCTGCATGATGATTTAAGATTACAAAAGATGATAATTTCACATGACATGCTGCACTACACAATGATAACCACCGGAGGGCAGCAGTCCCTTTTTCCTTTTTTTTCCGGATAAGAGTTAAATTGATTAAATATTTATTATGTATACATTTGGTGCATGTGAATTTTTCTTAATGTGAATCTGTGCAGGGCCCCCCCGGGCAGAAAGGAGACCAAGGAGCCACAGAAATCGTCGACTACAATGGAAACATTCAGGAGGCTTTACAGGTCAGACCGGGCGTCACATAACTCCCTGTCATTGTGATTATGTTGATTTAAAAACAAGAACATCTGAAAGAGTGTCTTAAAACACATGTTAAACCATACAGAAGAAACATGACATATATTCAGATAAAGCTGCAAGTTGTGATGTTTGTCTAGCTTCACTATAAGCTGAATTATCTTTTGACAATGACTCACATTTTCAAACTCCTCCAAGAAAATGTATTCTTTACATTACTGTGCAACACCCTCAATCCATCACGATTCAGCATCTCCAGATAACCAAGCACATCTGTTCTTTAATAAATAACTCCTCTGTGCTGACACAAAGGTTTCTTTCCCATATGACCTTTGCAATCTTATCTCCTCCACACTACCGGCCTTCTGCAGAAGATTACCACTATTACAGTAACGGTAATAACCTCTGTGTACCGCTTGTATTGTGTCATCCCCATACGTGATTCATCCTCCCCCTCGCATGGGCCCCACCCTGGTTTGCACGGCCTTTGCTTAACTACATATAAAACAGTATTCAGTGCTGCGTACAGCATTAGTCTAGTTGCTAGCATTTCAAACCTGGAAATGTTGAGTGCACCAACAGAAACTGCCGGATTCTAATTTGCATATCTTGGGAAATGTGCACAATTAGAATAAGTTGGGTTAATTGAAATTAATTGCATTATAGCCAATTTTCATCTTAAAAATGTCAGAAATGGACACAGAGTCCTCAATAACACCCGAAACCAATTTGGTCAAAAACATTTTTCAACTATTGTCCCCATAGGCTATAATGGTAACTAAGTAAGGGATAATGTGCAGCGAGGCGGTCATTATCCCTTACTTATTACAAGGCCACATTCTCAACAAAGTAATGACATGACTCCCAATATTAATTGAAATGCTTTTATTGATTTAAAAAATAGTATTATTGATTTAAAAACTAGTTTTATTGATTTAAAATGACATGCATCCGCTAAGAAAAATAGTCCGTTGTTACCGTTTGAANTCTGATTGAACCAGGACTTGCGAGTTGCTCTTCTTCAGTGCCACCGAGGATAAAAAAATCTTGCGCGCCCCGACAGGCATGTATCCCATTTAATCTGTATAGGAGGAAATTTTAAAATAGCAATGTTTCCAATGCTGATTGGTGAATGTTATTATTCATAATTTGTAGTTAGGACCATGTTTCTTGCTTCGACAGTTCTCTGGTTGCTGAGTTTCTGCTGAGTTTCTGCTGAGTTTCGTTGCCTCATTTTAATTTTGTGACTGTCTGGTTTAAATGAGTGTGTTGCTGCTTTCGCGCTAGAACTAATGTTGCTAAGTTTTAATAATTATATAATATATAATATTATTATTATATATAATATATATAATATATTTATTTATAAATTAATTTAAAAAAAATTTTCGTTAATAACATAATTTCACGAGTTATAGTTGTCTTTGCAATTTTTATTTGCCTTAGTAATAAGTATGCACCATTTACAGATATTTTACATGATAGTGAGTGTACACGTGTTATATAGGGCATTTTAGGGTAGGTGTGGCCTTGATATTTTTACTTGTCTTTGTGTGCTTGGGCCCCAAAAAGTTTTGGGAAGCACTGGTCTAATGTATTCACTTTTAAAGCAACAGCGTTTTAAGAACTTAAAAGCTTTGGTCATTCAACAGTGGGGCTAGCATCATTGTTAATGGTCTTAAAACAATCCTTGAAACCTCTACAGTTGTGTTACCACAGACTATATCAGGAAGAGAAGGAATTTATTTATGATACGCCTTTTCAACAAAAGGCAATTCCAAGTGCTTTACAAAAAATGAAAGACATTAGAAATGGCATTTAAAATCAGTATTAAAAGACAAGATTTACTTCACTAGCTTCATTTATCAAGCATTTACCAGGACACCGTTCAAACGGTTCAGGATCCATTCCTCGCACACTCTAATTGTCTAATGAACCTGAAAAACGTAATTATTCCATTAGTCACAGTCAAGAGTATGTTAGTTTTATAAAGCATTATTTCCGGTGTAATTAGTAATCATTCCTATGAAGTAAAGCATCTTATATGATGATATAGACACCAGTGTCAAAAGTGAATAACACACCATTTTTCCACTGACAAACACCTTTTTCAAAGTGTTTATTCAGCGTAGAAAGTGCCTGTTGTTACTGCCAGTGGCTTTGATAACAGTTTAATTTATCCTGAACTCCAACACTGCCTCATGGAGGACAATTAACACATCACACCGGGCCTTGCTTCCTTTGGGAAGTCAATGTTTAGGGTAGAAATATTTGTCCTGAATCGTTGATTTTGATCATAGATTTAGGGAGCTGCAGACGTTTTTTCTTTGGTGACTTTTTTTGGAAAAGGTCAGATATGTCTTACCCAGGGCCAGTAGTCACTTAGCTTATGCTTCAGCTAAAGAACAACCTCTGAAGAACTGATAAGCCGAACTAGATTCGAGTGTGTCTAATGGATTAGCTCCAGCAGAGTCACAGGGTGTTTCTCAATTGTCGAGGACGCTTCCTTGGTACGGACATGTCTTCCCGGAATCGGTCCTTCAAGAGGAGGCAAGATCTCTCAGAAAACGAGACTGGTGGAACAGGCAACGGTGTGCGTCATATATTGTGAAGGCCCCGCCTTAAATGGACGCGATTTTCAGCCAAAGATTTGGGAATTGGTCCGTGCGCAAAGCATTGTGGGATTTTAAAGCCGCGGAGGTAACATGTGCAGCCTCGGAAAATTCCCGCAACGCGTAGGACGACCAGCTCGGTAGAATTTCAAGGATCCTGGACATTGGAACAGTCTTGGCGGGACTCGTGGAGCCTTCCTCGACATTGAGACACCATAGTCTCTCAGGGATGATAACGCCGTGTTTTTATCAAATTGTGAAATCAAATCAGCGGATATGATAGGGTTGGCATAAATTTGGAGCTCCCTCCATTGCTATGACACCTGTTATGTATTGATCCATTTGAATGCACATAAAGCGTTCAGTTTGTCTTTGTGTTCTTGCTCAGAGAAATACTACAGGATGTAAGAGGGGCAGATTTATGGCGTCATTTTGCTGTTATTACTTATTTTTTTACTAAATCCTTAGGTTTGAAAAATGTGGGGCTATGTAGATGATTTGTAAGCATGGTCCACCTCTGAGGGTTTTGTTTCCCTGTCCCTTTCATCGAATCTCATGTTACAAATTGTAAAGATATTTATAATTTATTCCCTCATTATAACGTAGATATGGTAGATCATACGCCAGATAATGTTGCATGAAAACACACGGTTGTGATAAGTATACATGAACTGAGTTTTGGATTTATTTATATTTTAACATCTGTATCATTTCAAGACCATAGCGCAATGAATTGTTCAAGTGTAAAATAAAGAAGAAAGGATCCTCAGAAGTGAATGTGAGGAACTGTGTTGTGTGTGTGTGTGTGTGTGTGTGTGTGTGTGTGTGTGTGTGTGTGTGTGTGTGTGTGTGTGTGTGTGTGTGTGTGTGTGTGTGTGTGTGTGTTTGTGTGTGTTTATCGACTGCCTGTGAAGAATTCGCACTTTCCATTTGGCTCTCGTCTTTATCTCCGTCCGTCAGGAATTCACCTTGGCTCTTTCTCTCGGCGAGGTTCGGCGAGGATCAATGCAGGCAGATTTAGAGATGGCCTCCAACAGATACAGCTCACAACACACACACACACACACACATTGCTGTGCTGAGGTGTGATGAGAAGGTGCAGGAGGCGAGCATATGATGTTGGTGTGAGCCGTAGGATTGTTTTGTTTTATTTGTATTGTTTTATTGTTCTGTCTTTTAAAACATTTTTATTTAAGTATTCCAGTAATGTATGTTGCATGTTTTAAATTGATTGTTTAAAATGAAATGTGTTTTAGGTTGACTTTTAAAATCTGTCCAGGGACTACAGATGAAAAATAGCCTCTTGCTAACTCTGGCACATTTACAGCAATGTTAATGAATGTGCACTGACCCTGTTAAATAAATGAATACATCAAATAAATGCTGAGAAAGGAGCACACTGAGCCATGTCTTAAAAGTCAGTTATGTTCATTGTACAGAATAAAATATCGAATATTTGTTATCGATGACAGAAAAGCTCTAAGATAGGGTTTCCAGGGTTAGTTTTGCTTTTGTCAAACCTTAAAATAGAGCAATTAGATGATTTTCTGAATGAATTGATGAGTCATATGCACACACATTAAAGGTCAGAGGGTAAAACATAATGTTCTGACAGCTTCTTAAGCCCTTGAATTGTTTGTTAAAGTTTCTGAAGAGGTAACCATATGTCGAAAGGCTTATAGAAACTGCAGTATTTAAAGGGATGTCTGAAACATTCTAATTATATTTTTATTACATTTATGTTTTTTCACTACTTTCTTACTTCGCCTAATTGTCTCTTGACTTTTGGGTCAATGTGATGCCTTTAAATGGAGCAATAAGAATATTTTCAGTATAAAACGTCAGAAGGAGAAGGAAAATGGCCACTACAGTTTCTTAAGACCAAGGGAAAGGCATTAAATGTCTTGTTCCATTCGACTAGAACTCCAAAAGATGTTGAGTCTCCGACCAAATAAGTAAAACAATTTACTAATAAACAAATTGTTTCAGTTCTAAAAAAAGGCAACTAAAAAGTGATAACCGATTTTCTAAAATCGAGAGGTAAAAATCTTCAGAAAGACATGAAATGCTAACTTTAGAGGAACAGTCTGAAAAACAGATTTTGTGGCATATATCTGTTTTTTTATTTATTTTGTATGGCGTTAATTGTCTCATGAGGTAACTCCAGTGTTATGCCTATGAGCACTGCAGTCACCAGAGAAAACAACTCACTGAATGTGAAGCGGGGAATTGTTGGAAAACATGAATCCTATTTTTGTAATTAGAGAAAATATGACAGTATTTGGACTTGTGGCGAAGTCTGCAGGAGCCCTGCGGCCAAAACCTCTACCCTCATTTAAAACTGCTCATAGAGGAGAGAAAACTACCCTGAGACCTCATTATAACTCAGAAATCTGTCCCATGTTTCCAGTGACTTCTCTAGAGAGGACAGACCAACGCTGTGTGATATTCCCTATTTTAGGGATAATATCACTCAACCCTGGAGAAGTATTCAAATATGGAGATTTCCTGCTTTTGGATTTTGGATAGACAAAACAAGACATCTAAAGACTAAGAAATCACCTTGGACTTTGAGAAACTGTGATGAAAATGTTTCGTTCACAATCTTTTATCATCACAGTGTGTGTCTTTAACGCTGAGCAGTTTACAACGTGTATAAAGAGAGTCTCTGCTGCAGGCTTCTCCTGGTCAGCAGCTGAGCTCAGTATCACTGCATAATTCAGAAGCCCTTTTACTTTCTTCTACCCTTCTCTCTGCTTCCTGTAGCATCCACAAATACTGCG